AGGGGGCGGCCCTGGCGCCGGGGCCTGGCCCGCGGAGGCTGGAGGAAGGAGCACCAGTCATCTTCTCGACCAGGCCACCGGCCCGTGACCTGGAGGCTGGCCTGTCTCCTCTGAGCCCCAAAGGCCCGGGAGACAGACCGGCAGAGCTTCCTGCTCCCTTAATACCCGTGGAAAGCTGAGCCCAGGGCTGGGCGGCGGAGCAGGGAGGAACCCAGGCCTCCCTCCCAGCAGGGCCCTGGCTGTGGCCACGGGAGGATCGGGGACCATCTCTGGGGAGAGTGACGGCCTCCACACTTCTGTCTCACTCACATCTGCCACTGGCACCCGCAACACGGCCTGGCCACAGGGCTGTCAGGAGGGCTTGCTGGAGGGAAGGAGGGAGGCGTCCAAGACCATGGAGCATGTTCAGTGGAGACAGAAGGTACAGAAAAGACCAAAAAGTGGCGGAGACGTCAAGCACAGCCTGGGAATGCAGTCTAACTATGTACGGGTCCGATGGGGGTGAGATTTATCAGGACCGTCGCTTCAAAAGTTCCATGAATGTCTAATCGCTGTGTTGTACACCTGAAACGAAAAACTATGTCCACTGTAATCGGGAAACATTTTCATTTTTTAAGGCCAAATCAAACTTCTAAAGGTGAAAAATACAATGTCAGAACTGAACAACACACTGGCTGAACAGCGGGTTAGACACGGCAGAAGAAAGTGAAGTAGGAGACATGGACAAGAAACTGAGCCCTAACCGGTGTGGCTCAGTGGATAGAGCCTCGGCCTGCGGACTGAAGGGTCCCAGGTTCAATTCCGGTGAGGGGCATGTTCCTTGGTTGCGGGCACATCCCCAGTAAGGGGTGTGCAGGAGGCAGCTGATCGATGTTTCTAACTCTCTATTCCCTCTCCCTTTCTCTCTGTAAAAAATCAATAAGATACATTAAAAAAAAACAAAAACCTAAGTGAAACATGGAGAGAAGAGTCTAGAAAAGAAGGAACAGAGCTCCAGTGAGCGGTAGCACAACTTCAAGAGGCCGAATATGTGTGTAATCAGAGCCCCTGACCAGGGAGGTGGAGTTGGGAGGAGGACAGATATACTATTTGAAGATATAATGTCTGAAGGTGTTTTGTTTTCAAGTTTGATGAAAACCACAAATCCAAGTAACTGGTTTGCTACTGGGCTCTGGTACAAATGGAATGTTTCTATGGGCCATCGAAAGTGACTGAGGCCAGAACTGCCATCGCTGGGTTCCGTCAGACCACCACCACATCACGTCGATACGTAGATCCAGGAAGTGGTAGATCCAGGACTGAGTTCAGGCAGGTGCGGAGGTAGGTGGTCCAGTCCCATGTCACCTGCCACCATCGCACCAGTATCTGTCGATACCTGTGGTCTCGGGGATTCCCCGTGACCGTGACTCCATCGGGCAGTGTTTTCCGGGCGGAGGGATGGGCCTGCCAGCACCGAGGCAGAGCTGGATACAGAGGAGTCGCCCTCGAGGGGATCACACTGCTGGGTCACGGCCAGAGACAGAGGCGGTGGCCCTCCCCTCGCTGGTCCTCTAGACACAGATTTGATTCAAATGCCAGCTGTGCCCCATACTCCTGTGTGGCCTTGTGTCCTCTGGGTCTCCCCTTCACAGACCAGGCTCAGTGAGCACTGAGCAAGAAGCCCAGGCCCCAGCCTTTTCCTCCCTGGGGCCCTGTCAAAGCCACCCACCCATTCCGGGTAAGGTACCGGAAGCCCTTCCTTGGACCAGCAGGGGGCGCCCACACAATGTGACCCAGAGGAAGGGGGAGACTGGGGGCTACTAGACTTGCTTTGTGAGGTCTCTTCTGGTTCTAAAAACATCTTTTTATAATAAAAAGTCTCTGATAACAGAAGATGTAGAGGTTCACTGCACTCTCTCACCAACTGCAGGAAAAGTAAAACCAGGTCAGCCCTGGGCTTGGAGAAGCTTCCCAGCCCAGGAATGCACCCCATCTCTGAGCACACCAGGATCTGGGCACCCCGCAGTAACTATCAGAGGCCATGAGGGGTGGTGGGGAGCTAGCCAGAGCGTAGGGTCTGGACTGAGAGGTGGAAGGAGATCACATAGCAGAGTTGGAACTTGAATCCAGACCTTGGCCTCAGTTTCTCACCTGTAAAATGGAACTAACAGCAGCTGCTTCTCCAAGCAAACTATGTCAAGGGCCCAGCTCAGCGCCTCGAGCACAGGAAGTGCTCACTAGGTGGTACAGAACATTCAGGGCTGGTCTCAGGAGGGAGTGGGGCCCATCTGCCTGGCTTCATGCTGGAGGACCATGCCTGGGATCCCATCTGCCACCCCCAATGCACACACTCTTGCAACTGAGGCCCTGGGCCCAGGAATAGTTCACAAAGAGGCAGACCCAGGGCCTGGGAGGAGCGAGGCCAGGCCAGACCCTGGGCTGGGCCTTAGGCAACCACAGGCCTCATCTGTCCTGGCAGCTAGAAGTTCCTATCACGTGGCTCTGGGCCCCAGAACCTCAAAAATCTTCCAGCTCAGGGTCTTCAAATGCTTCACCCACTGAGCTGTCTCCAAAGTGGCTGCATGTTAGCTAAAAGCTATAGCGACCTGGGTCCTGCCTCACATCACCAGCGTGGAGGACCCCGGGCACCCGCTGGAAGCTGTTCTTGGATCCAAGTCCCCATTTTAAAGTTTTACACATGCCGGGACGGTGTGGCTCAGTGGTTGAACATCAGCCCCTGAACCAGGAAGTCATGGTTCGATTCCCGGTTAGGGCATATGCCCAGTTTGTGGGCTTGATCCCCAGTGGGGAGTGTGCAGGAGGCAGGTGATGAGTGTTTCATGAATGTTTCTATCTCTCCCTCTCCCTTCCTCTCTCTAAAATCAATAAAAACATATTTTAAAAAATTTTACAGGAAGGGAAGTTGCAGCCACAGAGGAGAACGATGTGCCTCACTGGGTTCCCCAAACAAGTGCAGGGCAGAGGGCAGAGGGCAGAGGGCAGAGGGCAGAGGGCAGAGGGCAGAGGGCAGAGCTCCCTTCCTCTCTCTAAAATCAATAAAAACATATTTTAAAAAATTTTACAGGAAGGGAAGTTGCAGCCACAGAGGAGAACGATGTGCCTCACTGGGTTCCCCAAACAAGTACAGGGCAGAGGGCAGAGGGCAGAGGGCTGTGACTGCAAGCACAGGATTGGTTTTCCAGAGCCGCTGCAGGACATGGTGTGACTGCAGGCACAGGATTGGTTTTCCAGAGCCGCTGCAGGACATGGGAAGCTCCCTGTCCCCGTGCCCCAGACTCGATGGTAACTGCACTGAGCCTCACCCCAGGAGGCCTTAGAGGAAACATCTGCAGACAGCGGGGACACTTGGTTCCTGGAAGCAGATGGCCACTGTCGCCCCTGCACCCCCCAGCACCCTAGGGACGTGGCCTCCCGCATCAGCTGACCAGCTTCATCTCTTCCCCTTCTCCAGCTGACCACCCCACCCCAGAACACGTCCAGGTGTGGGGAGGAGTCCAAAGGGCCTCCTCCAGGGGACAGCGGGCACAGTGCTGTTCGGGGTCTGGGCTTTACACAGCGAATGCCTTTCCCCAGCTTAGAATGCAGCGAGGATTAGATGATCCTGGGGTCCCTGCCAGCCCTGACCCCCAGCCGAGGCCGCTTCCCACACAAATATATCCTGCCTGGCTGACCTGCCAGGGAGTCGCCGGCTGGAATTCCATGGCAGGAACAAGGGATGGATCGGGGCTGGCCCATCCCCGTGTGGCCTGGAGGACTCAGCCATCCGGGTGCCACCATCCCCACCTACCCTTGGCCAACTCAGGGCCCTCTCTTCCTGCCCCTCTGTCTGTAGTGGTCACTTCCCCCTACAGGTCTTCCTGGAGCCCCAGCAGAGCCTGGCACGGGGAGGGTGGGCGGAGCCGGACTGCTGCACTTGCGCCCCATCCACTACTGGCTGCGAACCCCGGCAGGTCATTTAGCACCTGCGCTGGGAGGTGGGGAGACCCCTGGATGTCGGTGTGGGTCCTCAGTAGGGCCGGCCACCCCTCCTTGCCAGTGAAGCCCGGCCACCGCGGCAAAGGTCACCTGTGCTTTATTGTGCAGCAAAGGCCCCTGCGGGAGCCGAGTCTTAGCGTTCCTGGGGGTCCTGGGGCCAGCCCCTGCCCCCACCCAAATGCCCAAGCCCTGCCCAGCCCCCTGCCCCGTGCAGGGTGGGTGCGCTGGGGGGACCGGAATTCCTGTCCGTGAAGCGCAGGCAGGGCTTCGTCCAGGGACCCCGGGCTCCTGGGAAGTGCGGCAGGGCACGCGGGGTGGGATACGAGAGCCTCCAGCCCTCTAGGGACTCCGCCTGCTGGGTGGGGCCTGGCCTGGCCGATTCCACAGATGTCTGCTGGGGAGGCTTCCTTCCAGAGCTCCTCCTCCCAGGCAAGCCAGTCTCATGGGCATGAGGAGGTGGCCCCTGGTCACCTCTGCCAGCAGCTCTGGCGCAGGCGTCACCTGGGCCCCGCGTAGCCGTAGGGGTGCTGCAGCAGCAGGCTCTGGTGGCTGGGCAGCGGGTGGGTGTGGTAGTGCTCCACCAGGCTGCCCACGCTCACAAACAGGACCTCGCCCTCCAGGTAGAATTTAGAGTCCTGGGGGCAGGAGAGCGAGGTCAGGGGGGCTGGGCCAGCTCTCCACCCCTGCAAAATGGGGCGGCCAGCCCTAAGGACAGGCCTGCTTCTGCTGCCTGTTCCCTCCCCTGTTCCCTCCCCTCCATGCAAAAAACGGGGCGGCCAGCCCTGCTCCCACTGCCCGTTCCCTCCCCTCCGTGCCTGCCTCCCAGTTCCCGCCTCCCTCCCCCGCTTCACCAGGGGATCAGGCCAGGCTGTAGATAAGCCGGGTCAGGAGCTGGTCACCCCACCCCCTCTAGCTCATTGAGGACACAGCTAGGCCAGGGAAGGGGGAGGCTGAGGGAGTGGGGGAGGGATGGTGCCCGCAGGTGCCAGCCTCAGCCTGCCCCCTGCCTACACTCTAGGGCAGGGGTGGGGAACCTGGTTTCTGCCAAGGGCCATGTGGATATTTATAACATCATTCGAGGGCAATACAAAACTATCAGCTTAAACATCAGCCTGCTCTATTTGGTCAGACAGGTAATTAACTCGCCCCTCATCATCCGGTTCGGCAGGGCCTTATCCGGCCGCTGGCCGGCCGATGCTGCCCATCCCTGCTCTTTGGGGAGACTGTCCGGCCCCCAGCCACACCCCTTCCCGCTCAGGGCCCTCAGCCAGCCCGCTTACCTTCTCAAAGATGCGGTAGTTCCTCACTTTGTTGGAGGTTTCATCCCACACGACCAAAACCTTGAGGAGAAAAGCAGCAGGCAGGGTGAGGGCAGCTCTGACCGGGAGAGCGGGGCCTTGGGGACCCAGGGGTGAGCGGCATCAAGGCTGAGTGCCCTGGCCCTCAGGGACGACGTGGGGGGGGGGGGCGCCCTGCACTCAGATGGCCTCCGATGAGACTCGAGGGTGCCTGGTCCACCAGGACCGTCTCTGATACACATGGGGAAACAGGCTCAATAAGGGCACACAAGTCGCCCCTGGAGGGGCAGAGGCCGAGCCGGCAGACGACCTGCCGTTGGCCCTGCCCCAAGCAGCCTCCCCTTCAGAGTGCAGGAACCCCCATGGGAGGCCAGGGCCCCAGCCCCCTTCCCGTCTCCGGCCACCGTTCCCCCAATCTGCAGATGGTATCTACTTCCTGAGAATAAATGGGGCGGGGGCTGCCAGGCAGAGACCCCAAGGATGGCACTGGGTGGAGGGGCAGAGGCTCATGGGAACGTGGCCTGTCGCCTGGTGTGCCCGCCGCAGCCTGATGTGGGAGGGCCAGCAGACCCAGCGCGACGCAGCCAGCCCCAGGGCGTGGGCTTTGGCAGGCTGGCCGCCAGGCTCCTCCGTGGCACCTACCTTCCCGGACTTGGTGGAGGAGTTGCGGATGCAGTAGAGTCCGTCCTGGGGCTCTCCCCGCGGGCTCGTGGCTTTGAACAGCCTGAAAATTAAGTCAGCAGGTGACCCATCTTCAGACGGCTCCCTGGGGACCCTCCAGCCCCAGGCCCATGTGGCTTTGTCCTCTCGCTCTCCTGCAGCTCAGGCGCCATGAGCAGTGGGTGCAGGGAGCAGTGGGTGCTGATGGCAGTGTGTGCCAGGAGCAGTGGGTGAAGGGAGCAGTGGGTGCTGAGAGCAGTGGGTGAAGGGAGCAGTGGGTGCAGGGAGCAGTGGGTGCAGGGAGCAGTGGGTGCAGGGAGCAGTGGGTGCAGGGAGCAGTGGGTGCAGGGAGCAGTGGGTGCAGGGAGCAGTGGGTGCAGGGAGCAGTGGGTGCAGGGAGCAGTGGGTGCAGGGAGCAGTGGGTGCAGGGAGCAGTGGGTGCAGGGAGCAGTGGGTGCAGGGAGCAGTGGGTGCAGGGAGCAGTGGGTGCAGGGAGCAGTGGGTGCAGGGAGCAGTGGGTGCAGGGAGCAGTGGGTGCAGGGAGCAGTGGGTGCAGGGAGCAGTGGGTGCAGGGAGCAGTGGGTGCAGGGAGCAGTGGGTGCAGGGAGCAGTGGGTGCAGGGAGCAGTGGGTGCAGGGAGCAGTGGGTGCAGGGAGCAGTGGGTGCAGGGAGCAGTGGGTGCAGGGAGCAGTGGGTGAAGGGAGTAATGGGTGCTGAGAGCAGTGGGTGAAGGGAGCAGTGAGTGCCGGGAGCAGTGGGTGAAGGGAACAGTGGGTGAAGGGAGTAATGGGTGCTGAGAGCAGTGGGTGCAGGGAGCAGTGGGTGCCGAGAGGACCAGCCCAGGGCGTCGGCAGAACTGAGCTAATGGCATCTGCTGTTTCGCCAGGTTTCTGGTGACACTCGGCCGAGCACTTGTGCCAGCCGTGACCCAGCACCGCGGTGAGGAGGGGACAGAAAGACGGGGACCCTCGTGTCTATACAAACAAGGCCCGGAGAGAAGGGCTCCCACTCACCTCTCCACCTCGTAGGACTCGGTGGTGTTGATGAAGACTGAGCTGGGCAGGGGCACCTGGAGGGAGGGCAGCGTGGTCAGCTGCATGGTCTGTATGCGCTCGTGGCCAGCGACCCCCACCCCCACCGGCTGCCAGCCTGTGCCGAGATCCTAGGCTCTGCACCAGGTTCTGTCCCCTCAGCGCCAGGGTCTGGGGGCTCCTGGCTGAGCCGGCCATGGGGGACTCCGCCCGCAGCCCTCCTG